GATTTGTATATAAAAAATGAAAATTCAAATACGAAATAAAGATCTGACCATTGGATTGGGCTTAAATTCAATTTGGGCCGTTGGCTGACAAGATCTTTTCCCCATATATATATATATATATATATATGGAGTGGTTTGTATAGAGTTTAGGCTCTGAAAAATCAAATTAGAGCCTAGCTTCAAATTGTTTCGAGATATGTGGTTTCAATACTGGAAATCTATGTGATGGCCTTAAAATGTATTTTCATCTTTATTTATAAAGTTTAAAGCTTAAAAAATAGTGTAGATCGACAGATCTATGAGAACTTGAAAATCTTGAAAATTGATGGTCCAAAACTATATTACAAAATAAATAATTTTTAGAACTTGAAATCCATTTTTCTCTTGTGTCCATGCATCTTGATGTCGAGATGATCAATTTGAGGAAATTTGGGTATCAAAACAACCTCTTCTAGTTAAAATTTTGAGGAAGGCTCTTATTTGATTGTTTAGAGCCTTTAGCTCTATGTAAACTTTTCCCTATATATATAGAAAACACTACGCAACGCTTATGGGCGAAAATGAACCGTGATTTCGCCTATGCTCATCACTGTTCAAAGTTCATCGCACGGTCACAGTTGTCCGGTGGTACTTCAATTTTCATTTATTTTCTACAAATCGGAATGATCTGGGTATTTTGATCCATTTTTATTTTGCGAAATATGTTTTTTATATTTTTATTAGGTCCACCTCACTAAGATGTATACACTCCAAATTTCAAATAATTTCGATTTATAAAAAAAAAATAAAAATTGAAACACTACTTGACAATCGTGACTGTGCGATGAACTTTGGACGGTGATGAGCATAGGCGAAATCACTATTTATTTTTCGCCTATAGGCGTTGGGAAGACTTTTCCTATATATATATATATATATATGTAATATTTGGGGTGCTCCCCCTGTTCTCCTATATACATGTAAATTATATATACAAGATCGCTCTTAGGTCGCTCCTTGACCAACGCTCCCAAGCGCTTCAAGGGTAGGGAGCTTTAACTAAGTGCTGGTCCTAGGCTCCCGGACCCGTTCCTGCTCTCAACAACTGTGCTTTAAACAGAGACTATTTTAATAGAATATAAATGAATGGTTCATAAATAGTCAAAAATAAATCTAATTTCATCTTGTTATAAGATTCTTTTTTTCTTTTTTCCGAAGTGATGATCATCATGGTCCAGATTATCGACCTGTTAAATTTCAGATCCAAAAGCTATTAGTAACATGGATTTTGAAAGGAGGCACACTTTTGAATTGGGTGTGTTAGTTGAGACATCCAAACCTCGTCCTTGATATATTCATATCGTGGGGTTTAATGTAAGTAACCTCCTCTTCACAAAAACTGGTGATTTTGAACTGTTCATTATCCATTTTACTCAGAATGGTGTGTAACAGACTCCGAAGAGTTGGGATAAGACTCTAACGATGATGATGAAATAATCTATTGGGATTTCTCTCTATGATAATTCACATGCATGAGACTTTTTGCTGATCACATTGTTATTCCCTCTATGGTCCTCTTTTTGGATTACAAGTTATAATTTTGGTGAAATATCTGAATTATTATCTTTCTCTTGGGAGACATCCGATAGATATTATATTATATATAGTACAAATATTATTAATAGTATATATATGATATGAGTAATGATCCTATGAGACCCTCTCACGTTCATGTGAGTAGAACCCCAAATGATCACCATCAAATTTTGCACAGATCTAAAAAAGCTAAGTCCCATACCCATGTTATAACTTTTCTAGAGATCTATGCCAAATTTGATAGTGATCTTTTGGGGTCCTATTCACATGGGTGTGGGAGGGTCTCATAGTATTATTTCTCATATGATATATAACATATAATATAAATATATGTTAATAATATATATTAACATCCTCAAAAAAAATATCTGAATTATTATCCTGCTCCAGCATTTCGCTAAGTGATCAGTCAGGATGCGCAAGCTTGTGGTCCACCGCTCCAGTAAATTTTATGCAATTAGGGGACAGACCCTGCAATTGTATGTGCTGATCTGTGGGTGCACATGTAGAGGGCATATGCTTTGAATACTAAAATTGTCTCTTCTAACAGGATGAGGAATCTGCCGCCAGGCTTCCAGTTATTCCAAGATATTTTTATTGTGAACTGGCTTCAACTGCTGAAATCTGGATGGTATTTTAGTTCCTGATGGATGCGGTAGTTATTTTATTCTCTGTATATTACTTTTTAGACTTCTTTCTGTTATGGAGCATATAACTACCCAAGGAAGTTTATCTGTATATCCTGTGCTTGGGCATTTTATTTTGTGTGTCAAGAGCGCTAGTCCATTAGGAGGTTTCAGTAACTATGTTTCTATTGTTGCAAACGCTTCCTGTTAAATCGGATTTTGCAACTGCCATTCCAACCCTATTTGTTCCCTTCGATGTATAGCTGATGCACTCATTGTTATCATGTCTAGAATAACCTTTCTAGGTACCAACGGACGTGAAAAAGGAGCACACATATTCTGCACATGTTTTGGGGGCTTCTGAGGTATCGGAGAAAAGGCTCGACTTTACCAAGTCCCTTTGGTTTTCTCGTTCTTATGGGCTGCAACTTTTGCCCATGGCTCAGCTGAATGGCTCAGCTGAATGAACAGGAACTGATTGGGGTAGGCTTTCCCTACTTAACAGTAAGAGTAAAATTCGTTTCTAGTTCAAATTATACTTGGATTTTAGTCCATTCCTCACTTTGAAACTAGGTTTAAATACTAAGCTCAAGCTCGGGACTTGGCCCCTGCCCAACTGAGTAACTCGGGCAAATCTGAGTGGACTTGCATGAGTAGTTTACGGCCTTAAAAAAGTAAAAACGAAAATAAAACCGAAAATTTCAATAAAAAAAAGAAAAAAAGACAGCATTTGGGTTGGGGCGGAGAAGAGAGAGAGAGCATTTGGCCATTTGGGAACAGGGAGAAAGAACTTTCTTGGATACAGAAATGAAAATAGAGGGGCAGATTTCGGCTTCCCTGTTAGAGGAAGAGGGAGAATAAGAGACTATTAAGAAAAGAAAAGAAAAAGAAAAAGAAAAAGAAACCCAAAGAGAAGAAACTCTTTGAGGGCGTGTTTGTTTTTCTGAAAAAATTCTTTCAGAAAGAAATCTTTTTAATTTTCCAAAAAGTTATGCATTTGACACATTTCCATGTAAAAGTCTAGAAAGTAATCTTCCATTAAAGTTCGCATTCATTTGTTAAAACATGAAAGATTAAGTTTTAAAGGGAGGGGATGGTAGGAACTTAATTTTTCATAATGTTTTTGTCGATCACTATTCACTATACATAATATAAAGGAAAAATATTTTTATAGATCTCATTTTCAACTTTCATTTCTCCATTGACCTAAGCTTGTAAAACCTATCTTACTACATAGAAATTCATTTTATTATATCTCTTAATCTCTTAAATATATTTTATTCATTTTTTACTAATTTTTTTGGCTCAAACAAATTTAGAAAAAACATTGTTTTCTAAACCTCTCATCTCTTAATATGATTCCTTTCTCTCTCCCCTATCAACCTCCCAAACCCCTCTCTCACTCAACCCCCCAAAATTTATTGCATTTTTCGGCAAACCTCCGGCTACTTTCAGCCATCGCCGGCTCATTTCCCGGCGACCATAGGAACCCTGCCCCTCTTTCTTTGACCTAGAATGGGAGGAAGGCTTTGGCTGGAATGCTCATTTTTCTGGCAATTTCTAGCCAAAATTCTGGCCATTCAGGCTTTTAAGGGAAAAACTCGGGGAAGGGGCAAATTCCGGCGAATTCCGGTATTATTTATGACATGACGAGGAGGCTGGTTTTTTTGTTTCTTCTCATTGATGTAAAGCCAAAAGATGGCTTTGTGAGCTATGAAGAGCTTGAGGGTTGGAACGTGTTGAGCCTCCTCCACTCACTGTTGATGAGCCTGCCTTGTTTGCGCACGACAACCACAATACCCAACCTGAGAACTGGAAGGCCCATTGGCTCGAGGGACCCCATAGCCTTGAGCACCACCTTGAGAAGAAGCATCAGATTTCCAAAACCCCGCATTCCCATTCAAATCACCATATCCACTTCCCATATAGCCTCCACCACCTTGCTTACCACTAGCTACACCACTTGCACTTCCTCCCGAAACACCAATCCACCCCCACGACCACCAACAGCAGCGTAGCTTGCTGCCCCACCATACGCCCCATCACCCCGCTATAACCACCATACCCACCATAGCCTGGCTTCCACCATTGTTGAGCTGGAAAGAAATGGGTTGCGGAAAGAGAGAGGAAGAACAGTCTAGAGGGAGAAATACGTGAGGAGATAGAGTTAAAAAAAAGATATCTTTTTTAATTTGTTTGGGTTAAAAGTTGGAATAAAAATAGATAACATTATTTAAGGGGTTTAGAAAATAGGTTTTGAAATTTTGGATTTAGGAAGAAATGAAAAGTGAAAAGGGGGATTATGGAGATATTTTCCCTAATATAAATACATAATATTAGAATTATTAATATTATATAGTATTATATTTTATAATATTATATTTTAGAATATTGTATTATATTATATTATATTATATAATATATTATATAAAAAACGTGTACCCATAACTTTTTTAACATTCCAGCAAGTTATCAAACACAATATCTAAAATTTATTTAAACATTCCAATGCAAAACATTCATCTTTTTAAAAGATTTGAAAACATTGAACATTTTAGAAGATATCTTTTAGAAAAACAAACGTGCCTAAGGGATAATTTTGTGTGAATGTTCTTTCACTATTGGGATACTGATCTTGCTTAAATGGTCCCTCACTCTCCTCAACTTCACCAGTTTTATCCAGTGTGTAAATGTATGGTTCCCTGAAAAATCTTCTCTAGCCATCTTTTAGGGGCCTTTTGGATACTTGGAAATGTATTTTCAAAAATGTTTTTATGTGGAGATGAGACATTTCTAGTGACTGGATCAAAATTTTTTGATAGAAAAGTATTTATGCTAGAAACTATTTTTCTCATTTCAAGCCAAAAATAAAGAAATTTGTACCATTGCCCTTACCCTCAATAATTGATGTCCAGCCAGATTTCATTGGTTCGTAGATGCCCACGTTATAAAATCAACTAATTTCACCAAAACACCCCAACAAATTAGAGAGAGAAACTATCTAACATTTTAAATTTTAGAGATGAAGTATCTTAAAATTTTAAAGAGAAATTATATCTAATTTTAGAGAGAGAATTTACTTAACAATTTTTAAAGAGAAACTATCTCAAATTTTTTTATAGAGAAACTATTTCAAATTAATTTTTAGAGAGAAAATATCGTACAATTTTAGAGAGCCAAACTTTTTCAAATTTTAGAGGGAGAAGTACCTAAAAAGTTTTAAAGAGAGAAATTATCTCAAAATTTTTAGAGATGGAAACTATCTCAAATTTTAAGTTTTACATAGAAACTATCAAGAGAGAAAGTACCTGCAAATTTTATAGAGAGAAACTATCTCTAAATTTCTAGAGAGAGACACTATCTCAAATTTTAAGTTTTAGAGAGAGAATATCTTAGAATTTTAGAGGGAGACACTATTAAATTTTAAAAGAGAAAAGCTACTTAAATATTTATAGAGAGAGAAACTATCTCAAAATTTTTAGATAGAGAAACTATCCTATATTTTAAGTTTTAGATAAAGTATCTTAAAATTTTAGAGAGAGAAACTATATCAAATTTTAAAGAGAGAAAGTACCTGAAAGTTTTAGATAGAGAAACTATCTTAAAATTTTTAGATAGAGAAACTATCTCAAATTTTAAGTTTTAGAGAATATTTTAAAATTTTAGAGAGAGAAACTACTTGAAAATTTGTAAAGAAATTATTTCAAAATTTTTAGAGAGAGAAACTATCTCAAATTTAATAAAAAATGACATTATAATTAATAATATATTTTAAAAGAAATAGATTTGTTCAGATAATCTTTTTCCATGGATCCTAACGGCTTCTTAGTTGAAGGAAAATCGTTTCATGCGGGCTAGACGACATTTCTACATATGGTCCAGAGTGTGTACAACGTCCATCTTAAAGATGGATGGAAGTAGTGTTCCATTTGAAACCGATAGAAACAAACGGTCTAAAGTCGAAATGTTTTCTTACTAGAATTGTTATTTCTAAGAGTATTATTGAATAGACAAAGTTCAAAAAAAAATATTTTTGAACTTCATGACTCACTTTAAGCTATCCAATTTGACATCTAATGAGTGAGAATAACTGTGATTTTCATGTACGAAACATAAGTGACGTCTTTATAGACAATCCTTTTTTTTATTGAGGGGGGGAGGGGGGTACGTTTGATAGCTATTACAATCACCCGATTTGTACCTATTATTATTGTTCCTAATTAAACCCACCAGCATTGATCAAATATGGCCAAAATCTTGATTGGTTCACCTAAGGGCCTTCCACCCAAATTTCAGTTTTAAAAACCGGTGCGGTTGGTGTAGGGCCGAGGCTCTAAACAATCAAAATATAGCACACATTGAAATAGTGTTGAGAAATATAGTTTCAATACTATAAATCTTTGTGATAGCCTTAAAATATATGTTCATCCCTAGTTATAAAATTTAAAGCTTCAAAAATAGTGTAAATCGGGTATATCTGTGAAAACTTAAAAATCTTGAAAATTGGCGGTCAAAAAATGCATTATAAGATGCACTATTTTTAAAACTAGACATCCATTGTTTTCTCACGTCCATACATCTTGACGCCGATATGATCAATTTGAGGATATTTCTAGTGAAATTTTTGATGTGCGCCCTAATTTGATTATTTAGAGCCTCGCACTCATAAACGTTTTCCACATTGGTGAAAGCATTAGGCTACATGTATTTAGTCTTTGAATGTGTCGAAAGAAGAAAAATGTGAAGGAATCTCCATTAGAGGAGAGAGGGAAAGTCTCTTGTTCACTAATGTGGACGGGAAGGGTGCGTTCAGATTAAAAATGACCTCGAACATAAAAGAGTTTGGTATTTTATTTATCTTTTTTATTTAAAATTATATTTACCTAGAATTTGGGTTTAGATGTAAAAAAAAATAATAAAAAATATTTTTAATAAAGACGTTGGTCAAAATACCTTAAATTGTTTTAGTGATATTTTCGTCAACTTTATTGTTCAATTTTTTTATTAATATTTATTTTACAAATTGTATAAAAATAACTGCACTATTTAATATTTTAAATAAAAATAAAATATTAACTATAAAACTTTTTTTGTGCCATTTGACATACTAGGTTAAACCGTTGCATGGTGCTTGTGCACTCTTCAAGTTTTCACATTACTCCTATAGTCATAAGGAGTCCTGCGAATATTTTATGAGAGACCAAACAACATCTTGGGGTTATCTCTCGTCT